AAGAAAGTTGCTACGTGGCTCAGCCGTGACAATACTGACACAGTCATGATAAGGTCAACACCGAATACTGATTAGCCAGAAACTGTGACATAACAGGGCTGAGAATGCGGAGGGGGAGGTGGAGGAGGACGGGGTGGGGTGTGCTGGGTCCTTCATAACTGGGACATGAGCTCACAGAGGCCAGCATATATAAATCAAGAATAAACGCATAAACATTCACATTAATTCAGGGGTGCCCGCTAGATGTGTGCATGCCCCGTGGCCAGCAGTTCCATCCCTGGCCACGTCACGTGTCCAATGGGACAGAATCCCGTGTTGGGACCAGCAGTTAGCTTAATGGCTATGTCGCTGGACTTCCACGTAGTCGACCACAGTTCAAGTCCTGGACCCGGCGGCTTACACTCATGCCGGGCGCGTGTGTGTGCGTGCCCAAGGTCCCAAGATTAGAGAAAGGACTGCAGCATGGCCATCCCACTGTCTGTCTGTCTCCCTGGTGAGCACACGAGCCTCATGATGTGGGGCATGGCCACGATTTCTTAGCTACAACACCAAAACACAGGCAAGGCGAGAAGACAGATGGTGATGTCATCAAATTAAACACTTTTCTGCACCAAAGAACACAAACGTTGGGAGGAATGAGGAAAATGCAGTATTGGGGCCACCCCGATGTATTGTTAGAGTGTCCGCCATCAGTGTGGGGGCGGTGTGCCAATGACCAGTAACACTGAAGAAACAAGCAGCCTAAGGCCCAGCAAGTCCACCTCTAGTTCATTTTTCTTTTTAAAAAATTTCCCAGCAGTCTGGTGGGTGGGGGGGCAGGGAGAGAGGAAGGGCAAGAGAAAGCAAGCACCCCTCAAGGGAATGTTCCTGCAATGACCCCTTCTCCACCTCTCCCTCCCATTGGGATTTTGGGCACATACGCAGTGTTCCTCAAGCCTCCAGGTCTGGGTCTCGAACCATGAAGCACCCACGTGGGCTCCAGCACCCTTAACCACCATCCCACTTCTAGTTCAAAGCCCAGACGTCCTTACACATGGACAAGGAAACGCATCCCAGGCTGTTTGCCGCACCACGCTGTATGTGGAGGGGAGGGTCTTCAAAATTCTCATGGAAAATATGTATTATGAAAAAAAAAAAACTATTCATGGATCCCAAAAGTTTTTCAGACTGGAATATTTTTCTATAAAGTTTTCTTTTGAAGAATTGTTATTATTATTTTAAGTTACCAGAGACAGAGAGAGAGAAGAAAGTGAGAAGGTAAGCTACCAGGTCTGGGACTCGAACCATGATCAGCCATATGGGAGTTCAGCACCTTAACCACCATGCCACGCCTGCTGACCCTTCCATGAAGCTTCTGAAGTCCCTTCATGTCACAGTGAAAAAGTGGAAACAACCTAATGATGCTATATTTATACAATGAGACGCCAGGCAGCCATCAAAGCAAAAGAACAAGAGCATCAACATGGCGGGGGAAAAGCCTCTCAAACAACTTCTAGTTTGCACAGAAAGTAAATGGAGGTCATGAGGCAAATCACAACAAATTGCAAATCATTTAGATAACGCAGAAAAAGCCACATACGGGCAAGGTAAAGACCAGGAGCAATGGGAAGAAAGTCTCTCTCTGGGGTGATGAGACTGTTCTGGAACTGGACGATGATGAACTCTTACACAACACAGAGCCCCACTCAATGCCACGGAATCGTACACGCTGAAATGATTACATGGTAAAATTTATCACAAGTTTTTAAAACCGTAACGAAAACTACCTTAGAAAACCCATGTTGATAAAATATTGGTCTTCTGATTGGTAAGTCAAAGGAGAAAGGATGGTGGCATTCAAAACTGAGTAATAATGAAAACATGACACATCAAAACTAAATGAAGTAAAAGTCACATGTAGAGAAAAATATTTTCAAGGTAACTTACTAGGGGGGAAAAAAAAGGACTGGAAAAAATCATAGAACATTCATCCAGGAAGCTGGAAGAAGAACAGCTAATTAAATCCACAATAACTATCAAATACAATTTAAAAAAAACCAGTACCGAATGTCAATCAAGGCAAAAGTGGACTCTTTAGAAAGGCTAATATAACTGACGGGCCTTGGCAGACTAAGATGAAGGTGCCAGTAACTGTCAGGGATACAGGACAACACTACGCTCTGGGTAGATTTCAACAAGTTCACGGGACAGTGAAAAGGTACAAGTTTATTTGGGTGCAAATTTGTTTCAGAAAATCCACTCCGAGTTTTCATAATTTGCCTTTTCCATGAACTTCTTGATGACCCCCTGTATTACTGCCAAAAATACACCACCACACATCTAGTCATGAAGACACCGCCACACTCCTCCGGACGGTCTACACAGCCACCAGCCCGAATACTTCACAAACGTCGGGGTCCTGAAAAGCCAGAGAAGCCTGGAGTGCATTGACCCCTCAACTCCGCGCCCTATAGGACCCCGGAGCTGGGAAGAAACTGCTGTGAAAGTCACAGGGACAACTGGCAAAACCTGAACGTGGTGGATGGTTGGGTCAAGTTTTCCCACTCTAATCCCAGCCATTACGGTCCTGCACACGGAGGTCCCTGTTCTTAAGAAACGCTGGAGAACTCGGGTTTCTGCAGACCACGGTGCAATGGCCCGGGTGCACACAGACCCACCCCTGGGTGGAGCTCAGTCAGCTCTCAGCTCCCCATCAAGGTCAAGGGTTTGCCCTTCGCCATCTCCCCTCCCTGGAGAGGGGCAGCCCTGGGTGGGGGGGGTCCTTGAAGCGTCAAGTGCCAGGTTGCCCTCGGTCCAGAGCCTCGGGCACAGCATCTGTGAAAGAGGACACTCTGGCTTCCGGCCTGCCCTGGGCCCAGGGCCCTTCCCTGCAGCCTGAGTGAGACCTGACAGACCCAGCTGGGACTGTCACCTCTGCCCTGGTGGCTGGGCTGGCCCTTCAAAGGCCAGGCTCTGAGTGGTAAGGTGGGGAGCTGGGGCTCTCTGGGTCCCAGAGTCCTAAGAAAGGAGAAGTGGGCCCCGAGGCTGCCCCTGGGACCATGGATGGATTTGGGCTCCTCTCTGAGCCTCCACACCCACCCCCCAATACCACCTGGGGGGATGTCCTGAAGATATTTCTAGAAAGGCCAGAGCCCTCCGAACACCCCCTCCCCGCTGTTCCTGGGCTCACAGGGTCCCAGGTGGTGATTCGGGAGTGACAGACCTTCACCTGCCCCCAGCAGCGCTGAATCACAGTTGGCAGCTTCTGGCAGAGGTCGGGAAGCACCTCTGGGGTGCTGAGCCCGGAGACAACAGCAGGCAGACCCAGCAGACCGGGGAGGCTGAGCTGGGCCAACACCCACCAGGCTCTCACCAGGAGCCAGGAGGGGTCCAGAGGCTGGGACACTCAGGCCTCTGCTTGGGACCCGGGCACTCCTGACATGGCGCCCAGGAGAGAAGCTGCAGCCAAAGGCACCGGCATGCCTCGTTAGGGGGAACATGCCCCACCTGGCGCCCGCCCCAGCTGGGCCTCAACCGACATCCCCGCCCGCCCCTCAGCGCACGGCCCAGGGCAGGGCAGGGCCTGGCCACAGAGCCCGGCCACTCCGGCTGCACCCCCGGGCCAAGGGCCGGCGCTTGGCACCACACTGCACACAGGCCACTGCTCGGGCGGCTCAGTTGCCCCTTGCCGATGGCTTTCCCCGTCCCCTCCAGAAACCATGACGACATTGGTTCTGCCTCCCTGCCCTTCCTTCCCAAAGACGGCCGTCCCCACCTGCCAGATCATTCTTCGCTGCTTTTCCCCCTCGGCCGCTCACACCCCACATGGGACCCAGCGGTTGAACTAAGTCGTCACGGGTGCCAGGGGCCCAAGGCCGTCCCTGGGGACACAGGGCCTGGGCGAGCGCCTGTCCGCTCCTGGCTCAGCGCTGGCCCACTGGGGCTCGGACAGCAAGCACCAAGGCCTCGTGGTGAGTCACTGCCCCTCCTGGGCACACACCCCACCCTCCCCGGCCCAGCCTGGCCAGCCCCCCTTTCTCCGGCTCGAAGGGGCCCTAAAGGGTCGTTCAGCAAGCTTCCCTCCCGCCCCCACCATCGCCGGCAGCCCCACTCACCCACCGAGGGCGACTGGACAGTCCCTTACTGTCCTCGACCGACCCCTGGGC